GGGCCTCATCATCTCATGCCTGGGCTGTTGCCTTAGCTTGTTAGTTAGTTAGCAAGTTAGTATCCCCACCACAAGTGTCTAGCCACTACAGGTTCATCCTCCACTCAGCTGTCAGACTGATCCTTCTGGACTACAGGTCAGGGTTATTATTATTTAAAAACATTAGGCAGTGCAGTGGAGAGAGTGCCAGACCAGGAGTCAGCTGAGTTCAAATCTGACCTCGGACACTAGCTGCGTGACCTTTGACAAGTCATTTAACCTCATTTGCCTCAGTTTCCTCATTTATAAAATGAGCTAGAGAAGGAAATGGCAAACCATGCCAGCATGTGTGCCAAGAAAATAGGGTCATGAAGAGTTGAACATGACTGAAATGACTAAACAACACAACTCCATTAATATACAAAGGGGTCCACAGGCATCCCTAGACCACCAAAGAAATCAATGTCACAGAAAAGAACCCCTACTCTAGTAGAACATAAGTTCCTTGAGGACAGAGATAGATCCCTACACCAGAGCACTGTGCTAAGTACTAAAATACAAAGGCAAAGTAAATAACATAACTGTAACCTTATAGTTGGGGAATTGTGATTTAGAAAAATCTAAGAAAATGTAAAAGTTTTTGAGAATGTTAATATGGACCATCTGGATGACTGAGCAGGCTGCTCTAAAACCTGATGTCCTCATGTGTGATCCACATTAACAATAGCAGCTTTTTAGACTCAGCAACTTCTCAGAAGACCTCTACCCTTACCTTAGATGTTTTCTTCCTTCCAAAACTTCCAGACTTCACTGATCTCCAATCTCCAGCAAAGGCCACCTCTTAACATTGTTCCCTGAGCCTGAATGGTTCAGAGATAATCTGTACCTGTTCACTGACCACCCTTTCCCCTTCTCTTCTCACTGCCACTGCCACAGTATTTTAATGTCCATTTCTAGCAGCTTCTTTCTTATTCTTTCTGCCACAAACTCTAGACTATGATGTTGTACTTTTTAGGTCTTATTCATGAGAATGAATAGCATAAAGAAATATCAAAAATAAGGTTACAGATAATTGAATGTGTACATAAAATAAAAATATTTCTTATAGTCAGAGTGATACCCTAAATTATTACATTGTTTCTAACCAGTTATTATGGCCTAGGTTGGCCCCATAATTTTTATGCAATAGCATACATACCAGATCTAATTCTGGTTTGCCTAAGAGTGGCATATTTTGCAGTAGAATGCCTCCTGGGAGGTTTGGGATTCCTCCTAATGGGAGTTATGGACCAAGTTAATTAGTAACTTTTGACCAATTAATAAACCTCCTGGTTGGTCTCAAACTTTTGTTACTATACCCTGATTCCTACTTTGTTGCTGCCTACATATTTCCAATGGGTATGGGAAAATAACTCATAAAATATATTATTACATTTGTACTTGCAAAAAAAAAAAAGACAACATCTAGTTGATTTACCAAATTCACAAAGGAAACATGCAGAACCATGTAAGTAATATGCAGTGGATATCTTTTGAAACTTTTGACCATACAGACAAACTGGAATTATATAGATCAGTTTTGTCCTGAATCCTGAGAGAGTAACCCCCTATGTTAAAAAAAAAAATTGTCTTTAAAGTTTATGACTTGAGGTACGGATTAATCAGCACAATCAAACAAATTATATGTCATAAATAATGAAAATGAGTTAATAGAAATCTTGAAAATATTTATTCTGAAACAGTTTTGCTTAAAATTTGAAGACCAGCAAGTGTTTACATATTATGACTTAAAAAGTGAGAAATGTTTACATTTTCTGGAAAAATTAAATACATGGAAGAAGGTGATTTGTAATAATAACAGCTTCCAGCTAACAGCATTTTGTCAGTCTTAATTATATACATTAAATATTGAAGACAGGATTCTGTATTTGAATTGTACATTGGTGACTTTAGATTATTGGTACCCACATAATTTTTCAGCTATACAATTGTGTTTTTCTCCTTTGAACTTAACCAACAGGAGTGAATTAAACAGTCGACTTTTTACAGTTCACAAAACTGGCTATTTGTGAAACATTTTGAGGATATTTCAATTTTGTTAATATTTTTAATTTTATTGAAGCCTCAGATGAACACTTTTCAGTATTAGAGTCTGTAAGCTGGATGGCTTTATTCATTAAAAACTCTGAGTTTGTATTTCATGTCTATGTTTTTGTCCAGAAATTTAATAGCATGTGGTATTTTTGATTAAAGAAGGACTATCATATTGATACATCAATTTTTAATACAGTTTGAAACAGTCAATGGGAAACATTGTTCTTTGAAACTTTTCAGTTCATTAATTTGCTTACAGAATCCCAGATTCTTTGATTTGGTAGAGTGCTCAGAAGTCATCTAGTTCTTGTTAGGTACCCAAACAAGAACCTCTCCTTCCTCCCTTAATCCATCACCACTTGTCATCTGGGATTCACTTGAAGACTTCTATTAATGTAGAATCCACTACTTTGTGATGCAGCAGCCCATTGCAGTTTTGAACAGTGCTAATTGTTAGGTTTTCTTTCTATTGTATCAAAATCTACCTTTTTCCAGCTTCCATTCACTACACCTACTTCTGTCCTCTGGGACCAAACAGAAAATTAGAATCATGTTTGCACATGAAACCCTTCCTATGCTTGAAGACAACTATTGTTTTCTCTTTAAGTTTTCTCTTTTTGAAGCTAAACATCCCCAGGTCCTTCAGTCCTCCTAGGATGGGCCATCCAGTTCTTCAAGCCATTTTGGTTACCCTCCTCTTGATATGATCCAGTTTACAGACATCTGTCTTAAAATGCGGTGCCTGGAATTAAACACAGTAAACCAGATACGGTCTGACCAGGCCAGAATACAGCGTGCTTATTATGCTCCTTGTTTGGCACATTCTGCTTCAATCAATGCAGCCTAATTTACAGGGTAAGGTTTTTTAATACTGTGTCATGATACTAACTCATATTTAACTTTCAGTTCATTAAGATCCCTGAATCTTTTCCAGAAAACTCTTGTAGAAAGAGGTATGCCTCCTAGACTCAAGCTTGTGCAATTAATTTTTTGGAAACTAAGTACAGGGCTTCATATCTATTAATTTCATATTATTAGATTAATTCATTAGATATTTACTAATATGTTTATGGTAAAACATGTAGAAGAAAATAAAATTTGTGACAATGATGAAGCAAAATAAATTTTGTCAGAATATCTAGGGTATGAATTGTATTTGTTCAGATTTGGCCAGAATTTTTTTTGGGGGGGTCGGGGGGACAGAATGGTAAAGTTGGAGAGAATATAGTGAACATTGTGCTATTATCATTGGTAAATCCCAGCTATATTCATCATCATATAAAACTGTTTTCTTTAACATTAGAAGCTTATATGAAGAAAAACAAAACCCCAAACTCTTCATGTTCAGGAAATTATCAGCAAAATCATACCATAGTTCATCTTAATTTACACATCAACAGGCTATACATTTAAGTACTCAGGGGATTTGTATCTCAGATTCTCTATGTTTGAAAAACAAATAAAAATAAAAGGTGCTACTGTAATATTTTAATGATGTTATCTGCATCTGTTCCTCTCACAGACATTTCATGGATGGCTTCATTGTCGATGAAGCAGGGCATAGACCAAGTGGTTTTCAATAATTTCATTTGAAATGAATGGACATATTTATAAATAAAGATATTCATTAATTTCATACAAACCTATACATATATAAGCATATATTCATATGCATATAAATGCTGTGTGACCCTGGGCAAGTCAGTTAAGCCCTTAGCACTCTAGGAAACTCTCTCAGACTATATGATGCATTGGTAGAGACAGTTTACTGATCCAACAGTGCCCCTATCATTGAAATCACACATCTAGTCCCTATTCCTCTCTCTATGTATATAGATGAGGGGCCATCCAGAAGAGTGGATAGAAAGCTGATATTGAAGTCAGGAACTGTTTTCAAGTCCTGCCTCTGATACATTCTACCTGTATTACTAGGAGCAGGTCACTTACCTCTCAGTATTCTTATGCAGCTCACTAAGATGTGAAATTACTGATGATTTGCTAATCTGTGTTGTTGGTAGTAGCTTCCATATTGGCAAGACACTCTCCTGCACCTGCTCAAGAATAATAAATATTCTCTCTCTCTCTCTCTCTCTCTCTGTCTCTCTCTCTCTCTCTCTCTGTGTCTCTCTCTCTATTTTGTGTGTATATGTAAATATATGCTGAATTATATCTTATATAATTATTATATGTTGAATTATATATTATATAATTATATACTGGACTATATATTACATAAAAATTTCTGTCATATATACATATGATATCATATATGTATATCACATATATAGTGAACTATGTAATATATGATATACATATATCACATTATATTTGTAGTTTCTATATCAGGACTTATCTCTCTCCCATTCCTCACCCAAGACTGGCTTTTCTACCTAGACTTCCTGTGGAAAATATCTCTCTTTCTCTCTTTCTATACATGTATGCATAATAATAATATCTGGCTTGTATATGTTTGGAGAGAGATATAGAGTCTGTTCACACACACACACACACACACACACACACACAGAGTTCTAGTGTGTGGAGAACTTCTGCCATGGAAACTTGTCCATCAATGTGGTGGATATATATATATATATATATATATATATATATATATATATATATATATATATTTATGTATAGCTTGTTAGCTATCACTTATCTTTTTTCCTATCTATCCATCCATCATCCATATATCCACTACTTCATTTGTAATCTGTAGAAATGTGGTTATCTATGCCCATTTTAGGAAGCAGAAAAGTGTTAGAGAGTACTACCAATTGAGAAAGTTTATATATATATTTATATATATATATATATTTATATATATATATGTGTGTGTGTGTATGTGTGTATACATATATGTATATATATTTATATTTATATATGTGTGTGTATGTGTGTATACATATATGTATATATATATACACACACACACATACATAAAGATCAGATCATAAAGTTACAAAGCCTTCTCATTCTCCTTCCAGCCCTGCTACCAACACAGACCTCAGAAAAGCCATTTTCCTTCAGTAAGCCTGTTCCTCATAGGTAAAAGATGTGATTTATGTAATTCCTTCTAGCTTTGATATTTTATAACTTCATGATGTTAATAAAAGGAACACAAACTACTTATTAGAGGTATACAGGTTGTGTCTGATAAATCACTCTGATGATTTACCCACTAACACATGCATCATTTCAATTTACCCAAACTAAGCTAAGGCCAGATTAATTTTATCCATGTCCTTAAATCAATCATGGTAGAAGTAATGAACGTGGAATTTGAGTTCAATTATCATTAGACTTGTACCAGGCCTGCATGATGCTAAAAAACAATTGGTTAGAAAATGAAAACTTTAACAATTAGTTAAAAAGTAAAAACCTTATTTTAATAGCTATTTGGACTACACACCAACCCTCAGATCTGATGGAATTTTTTAGTGAACTTACCGGTTGTTTTAATGTTGCATAAAAAAATGACCATGACTCGTACAGATTAGGAATTCTCAGGTAGTTCATAGCTCAGTGTGAAATCTTGGCTTAAGGAACTTCTTGGGATGCTTGGAATGCCAGGAGAATGTGGTCCATCTATACAGTATAGTCTATACAGTATGTTCATAATGGTGCAGTCTTAAGCCTTTTTTAAAAGCTTTATATAAAAGGGCACAGTGCCTTGGACCATAGTAAGTACTTAATAAATGCTTTTTAAATTATTGATGATAAAACAGTAAACTATCATTTTTTTCCAGGGTCTCTCAGAAATAAAGGTGTAAATTCTGACAAGAATTTTAAAAAGTCAGCACTGAAAGCTCTTGCGCTTATGAATAAGTCAAATTACAAAACTTGCAGATTTTCATCCAACTAAGGCATTCTTGTTGGATATGGATCAAAAAGGCAATTAATCATTCAAATAAATTGTTTAAAGTCTTTTCATTTTGATCAAAATGAAAGAAATTCATTGAACATCACTTCACTATTGAAGAGGCACTTATCTGTAGGGCCATTTGGAATTTAAGATTTTTTTTTTTATTCAAAATTAGAGCTTTTGGAAGGTTTTTTTTTTTGGACACCTGAGGAACTCAAGAAATCAGAATTTTTTTTTTCTGAAGTCTAGAAATCCTACACCTCAGCCATGATCAAGAGTTTGCCTAAGTCAGTTTGTGGAGGCAGGCATCTTCAAATCCAAGTAAGAACCAATCTAACCTTCTAGTTTCTGAATGTGTTTGATAAGTGTAATATATTTAGAAAAAAGAATAGATTTCATTGTTGAATAAGCAACTATAGTTTATAAAAAAGAAAATTACTGAGTGATATGGGTATATACTGCCTATGTTTGCATGTGTATTTATTTTATATAGAAATATTCAAGCCAATATCAAGAATGAACCATCAAAAATAACAGACGTTTCAGCTGTACAAATGCAAACAATACTATTTTACATTAAGGCAAGTATTCTCAAACTTTAATCCAAGCCCTAGCTTCAGTTCTGGTTTACACGTAGCTTCTGGGTATCTAGGAAAGAGAGTGCTGCAGACTGAGGATACTCAAGGGGGCAAAAAAAGGAAAAGAAGAAAATCTGTGCTTAAACTTTAGAGGGGAAAAGGAGGGCTGTTCTATGGTTCAATCAGATCTATTCAACTTTATCTCCTGGAATTAATCTCTGCGGGAGTCAGGTGTAAGCATAAATTTGGTTTACATTTTAACACATTCTGACCATGAATCAGCTTTAATCTCACTTGAAACTTCACCAGGAGATTTTCCATTCCAGTAAATACATGCTCTTTAAAAACTGATCTGAGGTCATGACAACTCGCTCCAATCTGATCCTCTCTATCCTAGGAACGTGATGTCCTTTGCAACCATATTCCAAATCTTATAGAATCACCCAGTTGGAAAAGACCTTACTAGTCATCTATTCCTAAACCTCAGTATGGTGAGCATGGGTCTACATAGGTATAGAATCCTCTCCTACAACAGATATTGGTCACTTCCCATGTGTTTCAGGGAAACGTAAACTCCACAAAGGCAGGGACAATTTGTTTTTTCCTTTGTGTTCATCCTTGCACTTACCATAGTGCCTTTAATATAGAAGGCACTTAATAAATGTTTCTTGCTTTGGAATGAATTGGTACATTGGCTCTTTTCTCCTTAGGGAGAATTATGGAAGTGAATTAGAACTGGTAATTGTATTCAACTGTAAGTTTTAGCGTGTAATTGTTTTACATCTATTTTTACTGAGTGTAGAATAATTGGGCTAAGGGAACAGTAGAACAGCTTTGTAGGGCTTGTTGATGGACAAGATTAATATATATGTTATAAAGTATATTATGTCAGTTTATAAATATTTTTGGAAGATATGCTTCAATTCTTCTTATTTTTAATATCTGCAACAAAACATATTAGTCCTTATTTTGTTTTCAATTAAATTATAAAACATGTGAGAAAGGACTATTATTTTCTTTTATTCAATAAAATTTCTCATTTTTATATTCATACGTGTGATTTAAGTATTAAAAGAACATAAGGTCCTTGAAGGCAAGTTTTTGTTTTAAATAGCTGCACCTAGCTTAGGGCCTAGCATAAAATAGGTGCTTATTAAATGCTTGTGGCATTGAATAAAGACTTTTGATTTCCCCCCTGTGGTTCTGCATGTCTTAGTATTATAAAACAGTAACAAAAGGATTCCAGCCCTTCCAGTTGGCTCTCCCACCCACATCTTGGTTGATCCCTTTGAGTTAATAGAAAATCTGGTTATGCTTGAGAATGACATGTATTCTCAAGATTAAGACAAGTCCCTTTAAGAGCTTTGAGATTGTGAAGCTTTATCAGATATACTGAACTTGAATAGCATTTTGTAATTTCTGTCCCTCAATTTCCCAAAAGATAGAGAAAGAAAATGTTAAAGCAGCAAAATATTTTAAGAGGGAAATGTTTCATGTATGTGATTGAAAATTGCTCTTCAGAAGATAAACATTAGACATATGAATGTTAAAACAAAGAATGTGATTGCTTATATTAGAATAGGTTTGCGACTGAGTAATTCAAAGTCCTGGTAACTTGATATTTTCTGATTCTCAAATCACCACATGTGTTAGAGTGTTATCAGTAATAAAGGTGCCCATTTGATCAAATCAGAACAGAAATAGGTATGCAGATGTACAGTAGGGACAACTGACGATACTGCTTTTTAATCTGTATCTATAGAAAACATTTAATATAAGCTCTCTAATGGGATTATAGAAATACATTAATATTTAATAGTGTACTTCAGTGTACTCATTGTGAAAATAGCACATTTATTTAGACAGTAATTTCATGTCAAAAGTTTTTTTTTTTCCTTTTAAATATCTTCATTTCTTTGATCTGCAGTAATTGTGTTACTATGAAAACCAAAATACCAGTATTTTCCATTATTTCTCATCAAAAATCTTCTCATTTTTATTGATATTTCCCAGGGTCATCTGAAGTGAATTTTTTCTTTGTAAAAAAAAAACAAACAAACCCCAAAACATTAGAGTACTTGGATTTGCAGATTTTCTACATTTGCTTGCATTCATGTCTAGTACACATCGCTTGCCGTTCAATTCTCCAAGTGCCTTCTTCATAAGTACAGTGACATATAGTGCACTCATCTGTCTTCACTTCTCTTCCAGCAGGAATGACAGTGGTTTCTGCAAAACAGTTTGGGCCTGAAATACAGCAAAGCAATTATAGGTTATAGCCATGCAGCACATGAATTTATATGTAATATCTACTATCCCTTCTGGAGGATTCAGTGGAGAACATAAACCCAGAACTGTTTCACTGTAGGCAGAGGGAATCCCTACACCACAGAAACATAGGGAAAGATGGCTTTTTTACAATAATTCCAGAGTCACAGAAAGGTATAATTGTAATGAGTTTTACCAGTTATCTAGTGCAAACCCTTCATTTTGCAGATGAGGAAAATGAGGGCCAGAACTGAAATGACTTGTCCAAAACAAGTGGCCAAAGTGGGACTTAAACCTATTAAAAGGTGTTTAGAGGTCTTCATTCTGAAACTGCATGACCTCTTTTCAGGACAATGGATCAAGTACAGGCTCAAAAATGAAGAGGAGGATACTGAATAGCTGCTCTTCTGCATGAGTAGATCATTTCCTTACAAGAGACAAAACTGACCTTGACATATGCTAGCTACAATAACAAATTATTATTACTAATAATAATTAATAGAATATAATTGATTATAACCATTAAAGTATATCAATTAGCATGAACTAATTATGCTAATCAGCATATGATTAAAATTACCCATCTGACTGAAGTGGAGGATATTTATGGGGGAATCATGACGAAATTAAGTTGGATAGGTATGGTGGGGCCAGATTGTAAAGGGCTTTGATAGCCAGGCAGATGTGTCTGGATATGAGGTAACAGGAAGTCACAGTAGATTACAAAGTTGGGAAATGATACAGTGGGAATGCTGTTTAAAGAAACTTGTCTGGCAGCAACTACGGAAGATGGATTGGGGATGGGAGGCAGAATTGAAGGCAAAGAAACTGAAAGCTAAGAGGCTTTCACAGTGTGGTAGGTATGAATAGATAACAGATCTATCTATCAGCTATGAGAAAAGAGTAGAGAGTAAATTGCAGCGTGATTTTGAAAGAAGAATTTAGAGACAGATTAGTTAGGAAAAGGAATGAGGGAAAAAAGGTGATTACATCATATCTAGGCTAGGAGATGAGCAGAAGATTCTGACACTGAAAGGAATGGGATAGTTAGGAGATGAAAGGAAGATGCTAAGATAGGACATAATGGCTTTGACCTCCATGGAGATAGCTATAGGTAATTGAAAGTACATGGCTAGAATACAGGACGGACCTGGAAGTTCAAATATGGGCCTAATACACATAAAGATAAAATCTGATGGCATGTAGTGGATGAGTTCTGAGAACTAAGACTAGAGAGAGAAGAGTGGAAGGCTAAATTTCAGAAGTCTACATCATACAGTATTTCCAAATTTCAAAACCAGAGACACTGTTTCTCTTATATTGTTTTAATCCTCTCTCCCTTGAAAATATATTAAAACATGTAATAAAGCATTATTCTACTTTTCTGGACTACTTAGGATTATGTAAAATGTTCATTAAAAAATCAAGCCTAGGAGTTGTAGAGACTACATGATATAACAAAAAGAACACTTGGCCTTGAAGTCAGTGCAGGGACTATTTCATTCATTGGCATATTTTAGGTGTTTAATAAATGCCTGTTGATTGATTCAGAGGACCTTGATTCAAATCCTGCCCTCCAGTACTGTTTAACCTTGAGCAAATTATTTACACTCCCAAGTCTCTGTTTCCCCCTCTGTAAAATGAAGGGGTTGACTCAATGATCTCTGGTCCCTACCAGATCCAGATCACTGATCCTTTAACCCTGATTTGCTATTTTAAATTTGTCTCAGTTAAAACTTTTTCATCCAGCTTTCATGCATGAATTAAAACAAATTAACATATTATTATAAAAGTCAGCTAGCTCATGGAAAAGGAATCAAAGAAAACAAAGAAATTAGAATCAAAGAGAAAGGAAAGCCCAACCTGAATGAATAGTCTAGTGCAGAAAGGGCAATCTCTTTTGTTTCAGTCAGGTAAGTGTTGTCATTGGCCTCTGTACATGTCATGGTTCATCTTGCCCTTGAACCTTGGCCCCTTTTGTTTTATGCCACTGGAAGTAAAGATAAATAAATCCTCCATTTCCAAATATAACTTTAAAGAAGGAAAATCTAGTGTCTGCCACAAAGATGGTGCCACTCTTCTAAGTATGATTTTTTTAGTAAGACTTAAAAATTGTATATTATATATTCTTACAATCAGAGAGGAATATGGAGGCATATCATTTCATTTTATAACCAAAGCACTGATAGCTTAACCAGTGATTTCCCTATTGGCAATTGTAATAATAAATTCATTTTTATTATGCTTCTCCCCCAACCCTGTGTCTCCATGTAGATCTACTAAATAATTTGTTAGTGTGTATTTTTCTATGTCAAAGAATTTGAATGTACAGAGAAAACTAGAGTAAATATACTTCTCTTTAATTGTTAAGTTTGGTAGTGTAAACCCAAATATGCTAGCCACAGATCAAATTCAATAATATATGTGAAAAATCTTTGTCAACTTTAATACCCTAAGGAAACATAAAATAGTATGATGTCACATCACTGCTTCAAGGATCAAAGAATTCACCTTTGCAGTTACTAATGGTAGAGAGTCTTTAGGAGTTGGTGTATCTGAAATATTCACCACCTGATGACCAAAAGTGATGAACTTTCCTAGTGAAAAAAATCATTGCAAAATCAAATGAGATAACATATTTAGAGTGTTTTGCCAATCTTAAAGAGCTATATAAATAATAGCTATAATAATAATTATTAATATTAAATCATGATTTACTATAATAATGGTTGTAATTAAGTATAATTATAGAACTACAGAAAATTATTTCTAACATCATTTATGCTAATCACATTGTATTAACTATAATTACATTGTAAATATAATCATTGATGCTTAATAATTGTTTTTGTGTGGATAGGTTAGCATCAGTTCAGATGGCTTAGTTTCTCAAAGCAGATGGGAAGGTGGTTCAAGGTAAGACCTACATTTTGATTAAGGAGGAAGGAATTTATTTGATTCTGGGCAGTATATTTGAGGATGGACAGAAATAAGCTGGGACATTTATTTCTAGCGGCGATCGAGAAAAAGGATATAAGGACTGGAAAGCAAAGCACAGAAGAGTAGTTAGAAGGAACCAGGTATATTTTGTCTGGAGAAGTGAATGCTTCCTTAAACAATAGGATTGTACGTATTTGACATAAAATTCTTCAGTAGGCCTTTATGCTCAAAAACTTTCCAACTTCCTAGAAAGTGCTACAGATTGGTTTCTACTGGCATAAATTTGTAAGCCCAGTCACTTCTATTTCATGATGAGTCATTGGTATAGGGCTTATTATTATTATTATTGTTACTTTTGAATTATTATTTTAATTTAAATTATTACCACATTTCCTATTTTTACACTACTTTTTTAACTCTAAAAGTGAATTCTAATAAATGTAGCCTATTACAGATACAAAAGATAAGATTTCTGTTTTTATATACTTATTAAGGGAGTACAAAAGAAATTTATGTAGCAACCCTTAATGTCTGTTAAATAAATGTAAATTATTTTATTATATTGTTCTGAATTAACAAGTGTTCAAAGAATATAATTATCAAGAATTCAAAAAGAAAAACTTTTCTCCTCATAGTGTTGAAAGTCTTCATTTCATTTTAGAGAATAATTTGTATTAGTAAATGTAGGCAAAAAGGCAAAGTGCACATTTATTTTTGTAAACATGTGTTTTTAAAATTTTGGGTTCCAAATTTTCTCCCTTCCTCCCTCCCCACCCATCCTCAATGAAAAGACAAGCAACTCAATACAGGTTATAGATGTGTAGCCATGCAAAACACTTCCATAGTACTCATGTTGTGAAAAACTAACTATATTTCCCTTCATTCTATCCTGCCCCCCATTTATTCTATTCTCTCTTTTGACCCTGTCCCTCCTCAGATGTATTTGCTTCTGATTACCCCCTTTCCCAATCTGCTCCCCTCTATCATCCCCCTGCTCTCTTGTTCCCTTCCCCCCCTTATTTTCCTATAGAGTAAGATAGATTTCCATACCCAATTGAATGTGCATATTATTCCCTCCTTAAGTCAAATCTTATAAGAATAAGATTCACTTATTCCCTCTCATCTTCCCCCATTTCCCCTCCACTATAAAAGCCTTTTCTTGTCTGTTTTATGAGATAATTTACCCCATTCTACCTGTCCCTTTCTCCTTCTCCCAGTATAATCCTCTCTCACCCCTTAATTTTATTCTCCAGATATTACTCCTTTATTTTCAACTCACCCTGTACCATCTATCTATCTATCTACTTACATACATATAATTTTTTCCCTCCAACTACTCTAATACTGACAAAGGACTCATGAGTTACAATATCATCTTTCCATGTAGGAATGTAAAGAGTTCAATCTTAATAAGTCTCTTATGATTTTTCTTTCCTGTTTACCTCTTCATGTTTCACTTGAGTCTTGTATTTGAAAGTCAAATTTTCTATTCAGCTCTGGTTTTTTCGTAAAGAATGCTTGAAAGTCCCCTATTTCATGGATTGACCATTTTTTTCCCCTGAAGGATTATACTCAGTTTTGCTGGGTAGGTGACTCTTGGTTGTAATTCTATCTCCTTTGAACTGCAGAATATTATATTCCATCCCCTCCGGTCCCCTTAATGTAGGAGCTGCTAAATCTTGTGTTATTCTGATTGTGTTTCCACAATACTTGAATTGTTTCTTTCTGGCTGCTTGCAATATTTTCTCCTTGACCTGAGAACTCTGGAATTTGGCTACAATATTCCTAGGAGTTTTCCTTTGGGGATCTCTTTCAGGAGGTGATCAGTGGATTCTTTCCATTTCTATTTTGCCCTCTGGTTCTAAAATATCAGGGCAGTTTTCCTTGATAATTTCTTGAAAGATGATGTCTAGGCTCTTTTTTTGATCATGGCTTTCAGATAGTCCAATAATTTTTAAATTCTCTCCTGGATCTATTTTCCAGGTCAGTTGTTTTTCCAATGAGATATTTCATTTTTTCTATTTTTTCATTCTTTTGGA